GGCTGGTAGTGGTTAATAACAAAGAAGGACTGAAACTTGACGCACATCCTACAACAGAAGGTTTGTGGCCTTTCGTCATTAATCCTGCTCAGCAAACCTATCAGGAACCCTGCAGACCATCTTAGGTGTAAATTACATGGACTAGTTCTTGAGAGAGACCAATTTTCCTTTTTTCCAATATTTTCCTTTCCATATTTATTTTGATCATTTACTATTGGTATATTATTCATAGGTTTTGAAAAAGATGAGTCACAAAGAAATCAAACGACAGGATGTGATATTTGGTAAGTTCTTTTCTTCTGGCCATTTATTTGCTCATTTTGGGTATAGTTCTACTTTTATGCAGTGGTTTTATGCTCTCACACAAACATGTTTCCTGTGCTGTAATTTTAAGCCTAATCAGCATGTTTGTTTGATTTGTTAATGTGCAGAATTCATTAAAACTGAAAAGCACCATATGAGAACACTGAAGATCATGCAAAAGGTAAGTATGATTGGAGTATCATATGCAACCCTAACCACACACAAACCTTGGATGTGTATGGCTATAATGGATACCCAACTATCTGATATCTGACCCCAGAATGGTTGGAATTACAGTTTCCTGTTGAACACTCTTAGATTTATAAAAAATGAATTGTTTGCACCCCCCCAAAAGGTTTGAGCGCTGTTGCTGGAATCTGTGTGATCCATATTGAGGTGGATAGTGTTTTGTTTTCTTTTTGAAATGTTGGGAATGACAATTTTTCTGCTGATGCCTGACTGATGTGAGTCACTGTTATGAGAAATCTTAAGGTTTTCTCCTCCTCGACAGATTTTCAGCTTTGGGATGCAGAATGAGCTGAAGATGGACCAGACCATCATCAACAAAGTCTTCCCCTCCCTGGAAGAGCTGGTGCAGATTGCTGTCCAGTTCAACGAGGCCTTGCAGGCCAAACAGAGGACCGGTCAACCGGTAGAGACGATAGGTGATGTCTTGGTCAATCAGGTAGGCTCTATAAAATGGACATCTCAAATCTGTCATGGATTAACAGAGGCAGAATCCTTGAAGATAGAGTCTCAGTGCACATAGTCAAAAGAAGCTGAGCCTGTGTCCATGTGCAGTCCACTTTACTTCAGTACCGTATTAGTTCTTCACAATATTCCGTTTGTGTAAATGTGCCTTGAGATTTGAGTCATTCCACAAAGTTCGGGTGCAGTTTGTGACGGCGTCCCTTGTTACATCAGTGAAAATAAACATCTTTTTTCCCTGCACATTGATTCTAAATTGACATTGTTCTAAATCTTGCTAGGTTGTTGTAGTGGTGTGCTTCATCTTTGCAGAACAATAATGACTTAATCTGTTGTAATGTGAAAATAAAGGGCAATAAAGGTTACCGATGTAACAAGGGACGCCATCACAAACTGTGCCCGAACTTCATGGAATGACCCATTTACAAGTGCCAAACAAATTTTAGTAAAGGTCTCTTTAATGTCATCTTCATGCCCCTGTACTCAGGCCAAGTCCTCACATGTGAAGATGCTGTAGTTTCTTCAGTTTTCCTCTGCCTGTTTACAGTAAAGCACTCAGTACATATATCGTGCACTTCCGTTGTGGAGGCCCATGTGTGCAAGCGATTGCCCTGAAGAAATACGTTTGTCTGACCTTGTGCTTGGCTTTTCATCTGCATATCTTTATTATATTATTATTGTAAAGTCTTTCTGGTAATGACACCAAGGATTCCCCAAAAGTGCCCTCGGCACTGAACTCGTAAGCCTGAAGAAACCTGTATCTAGGAGACAGTGAGAAGCAGATACATTTTTAGAGGTGGAAGGAAAACCCCAGAAGAATATTTTGGGTAAAACCCATGAAATTGGGTAGGGACTGAAAACCGAATCCTCATGTCTGCCGAGCCTAGAATCAAACCTGGACCGCAGAGGTAGAAGGCAAGGAAAGAAGCACTACGACAACCTGACACCCGTATATCTTAATTCATGAGTGGTATTTCTCCAGATATTTCAATATTAAACACCATTTACAAATGTTATTTGTCTTGATGGTATTTTACAGAATTTGTACAGTTAACAAATATGAAACATACTGTGTGAATGGCCCAAATCATTGAGTATGAAATGAGTATGTGGAGGAAGAGTCCCTGAAAATGTCTTGATTTTTATGGACAGGTAGTAATCACTGCATTCACTGCACTAGTACTACTGGCTGTTCACTACTGCAGCTCAGTGTCTGCCAGTTTTTACAAAGATTGACATTTCCTTTCCCTCTTGTCTTCATGGAAAAGTTTCCTCTTCACATAAGCTGCAACACTATTCTTACCCTTTTCTTTTCATCTGGTTGAATTTTCTGGCCAGTTTGACAAAGAGAACGGGAAGCGAATGATGGAAGCCTATGCCTTCCTGTGCAGTCGGCAGATTGAGGCTGTAGCACTCTATAAGGAGTTGTATAAGACAGACAGGAAGTTCCAGGCATTTATTAAGGTAAGTCAACATCCACACATCCATAATGGCAATTTGAAGTGCCTTTTGGTGTGCCTGACAAATTTTTGTCAGTAAATTTTAGCCAGATTTTTTGGCACTTGTGTTCTGCATTTTTGGTTGGACATAGCTGAGTCCTTTCATTTTTGTGTAAGTTACGAGTATTTTAATACAATTTACTTTGATGAAAATGTACTGATCTGTGGTTTAAACATCATCTTTTGTCTTTCGGATGAATTTTTCCTGCCAGGAATGCTCTTAATGAAGTTGTGAACAATTTGTTGCGTCCCTGTTGATTGTTTCCAACTTCAAAATAACTTGTTCCAAGCAACCAGGATAACATCAAGGAAACTTGATACCAAAATTACATCTCAGCTGATAAAAACTTCTGAATTTGTTTAATTTCATCATAGGAGCCAATTTCATTGAGTGTACAGAAACGTTCTGATTAGCAACATCAGGTTCACCTGTCATTATGTCAAGTGATGAACACTACTTATGACAGGTTTTAACTGAGTTCTACTCAGCAGGAAAAATTTCTTGCAATATTTCTTTTAAGTAGGTGCATCAATGTTGGATCTTAATCAGTAACAATGAATTGAAATTTGAACTCTCAATAACTGTTTGGTTTGTCTGACTCATATATTGTTTCCCCAGAAATGTAGTACCAATGCCCTTTGCAGACGGTGGTCCATTCCAGAGTGCATACTGAGTGTTACTAACAGACTCACCAAGTACCATCTACTTATAGGAGCCATTATCAAACCTTCCAAAGGTAAGGAATTCTGATTGGAGATAGATTTCTGTCAGGAACTAAAAACCAAAGATTAACTCTGAAGCAGGACTCATAATGTACTTAGAGGCTTGACTTGCTGGACATTGAATTTAACCACTTGCTGCTGGTTGCATGTCGTAAAACCGGGAGATTTTCAAAATTTTCCATTTCAAAACTCTTCAAAAAATCCCAAGTACTGTACATTTACTGGACGTTTACACCCACACAAATGACTGTCTGGTGGCTACTCTTATCTAACAGACAACATCTATTGATGCCCGAGTACTTCAGCTAGGCCTGCAGCCTGGTAAAAAGAGCCCCGATTGTGCCGTGTTACATAAGCTACTTTTGTTCCGAAACAGGCACAGTGCGCGGGCGTCTTTTCAATAGGAGCCAGATAAGCGTGCGACGGCATTGTATTACTCATCACAAAAGTGGTATAATCTTTCAAAACAGTGACGGATTTCCTCTGCTATTGACAACTGAAAAAATGTTTGCAATTCCCAGAAGTTCAGTCATTTGTTTGGAGTACGGTCTTTTGTTATAAGGCCCAGCTCTTTGGTCTGCTTTCGGGCTCCCTGGCTTCGTGTATAAAGCCTACATGTATGTGTCCAAAACCGGTCACCCCCACAGGAAGTGGTTAATGTCAATTCATCATTTTGGTAGTAGGATGAGTGATCAGGTTTATTCAGGATCAGCAACAAGAAGTTTCTTTCCAAGTTTCAGCAATTAGATTCCAGGACTCAGTTCTGACAATCTTTTCCTTTGTCAGTACAAAACTTCAACAATATTTGCCAACATCCATACTGTGATGTACTTACTGCATTCTCATTATTTATCCTTCACCTTTTGTAATTGATTTATGAACCACCAGGTTCTGCACAAGTTGATTCAATGTCATTTTCCACAGGTACCAAAGTGGACAAAAGTGAAATCCCAAACCTCCAGAAAGCATTGCAGCTTATCAAAGTGAGTGTACATGAGATTTGCTGTGGACTAATGAGACACCAATTCTGGGGCAACATCTCACTCGCGCATGCATTGTATCATTGCCTTCTGAAAGTTGTACTTGTATTTTGGCCAATCAGAGCACCCTTTTAGTCAAAGAAAGATTTATCGCATGTGTACAACTCACTCAGAATGAGATGCTACTCTAGTGATGACTCCCTAATTCTGGTCACTGATAAAGTCTGCTGGAGGTGGTTTAGTTCCAGGTCGTGCAGTATGCCTCAGAAATCAATTAGTTGACAATGTACTCCCTTCTGCCCAGTCTTTGTTGCATTTCTGTATTTCTCTCATAATTGCAGAATATGAAGAGGCGAGGCTTAGTTGGTTGCGAGAGGGGTTGGAGAGGGTTTGTTTGCTTGGGGTTTGTTTTGTTACTCAGTGTGTGTCCTCATTTTGGAACTGTCTCTGCCCACGTGTTTGTAGAACATATGCCAAGATGTGAATGTTCAGGTCAAAGAGTACGAACGACACCAGAGACTGATGGAAATCTATAACAAGCTGGAGGCTAGGTCCACAGGCATCCTGAAAAGTGGCAAGAAATTCAAGGTGAGGCAGGCTGCAAAAACACAAGGAAGGAATGAGTTCATGTTTAGAACCAGGTGGTATAAACGGTGATATTGGGGCTGGCATAACTGGTTACTAAGCATTTTTTTCAAAAAAGGTTTTTTTGATCATCTGCAACTACCTCTGTTGACTGAGCTTTCAGTGGCCATCAAGCCTATGTAAGTTCATAGTGGCTGGGCTTTGCGTTCTCTAACTCAGCCAAATACTCCCCAACTTCTGATGAATTTGGAAGAATCTTTGGGGTGAGGTAGACACAGCGAAGCTAGTTTCAGCACGTAGCAAGCATGTTTGAATTTTATGGAGAAGTTTTTTGTGTGAACATCCCATTGTCATGTTTCACTATAGCAGTTGCTTAATGCTACACAACTAAAAATGTCAGGCTGTGTAATGTTAACAGGCTAGACATATTCCAACTACGTACTTGAGTGATGTTTATATCATATAGTCTGTCATGAACCAATATGGCCCATCTGGCTGGTGCTTAATCTCCTGTTTCAGTGGCATGAGACAGCTGTGAATATTTCTTTTTCCCCCTGGGTGAGATGAGAGTCCATTGTGTGTCATTTGTCATCTACTGTTGGTGCACATGTATAGCCCAAGTTGGAGAAAGGCAAGTAGAAGTGAAGCGGCTTTCCCAAGGCCACAACCTGGGGCCAGTTGGTGGATTCGAACCCCCAATTATGTGTCAGAAACCGTAACACTCCCTCCCCCCACCAAAAAGTGATGTGACCTAATTCATCTGTGTTGGAAGTCTCTGAGATGTGATAACTCTGTGACACCTACTTCTTGCATCCTCAGAAATCAGACCTGTTGTCCAGCAATCGAAAGCTGAGGCATGAAGGGGAGCTGAAGTGGAAGTCAGCTAGGGGACGGCTGACAGAAGTCGTTGCCGTTGTGCTCAGCGATGTCATCATCTTCCTTCAGGAAAACAACCAGAAATACACCTTTGCCTCCCAGGATAACAAGGTATCATTTCTACACCGGTTTTGTGCGTGTGAGTTTGTTTCTGCATTCAGTTGGGGACCCTGAACAATAGAAAACAATAAGGTCCCAATTGACAGAGGGTCCCCGATTGATAATTGTGTACAAAACATATGGGTGGTCTTCTAAAAAAGTTAAAGTACAAACAAAAGAGGAACAATAGGGGGTCCCTAGTTGCAGGCAAATACACATGTGTGTGTGTGTGTTTTTAATTGAAATAGGGAAAAACACGTCAAATGCAGATGCTGTGTATTTTCACTTTTTATAATAATACTGATTTCTGTAGAGGGCAGCCAAAGTCTTCACCATGAAACAAAATAGAAAAAGGCAGGCAACTTCCTAGTCTTCCACAATAAGTTCCCTGGGTTTGTCTAACATTACTAATCTAGTGCATGACCCTCATGGATGATAAGACTGTCTTCGTGCTCTAGTCTAGATTTCATCAGCTTCAGCATTTACCTGTCCAGGTAGTAGTACATGGGACGGTTTCTTATACAAGTACAGCTGTTACTTATATTATAGTATCCCCTCGATCTGACAGTGAGCCTACTGTCTTGACTGTAGGCCTGCTTATATTTAACCCTTGGACCTTGAATTATTGACCTGTTACCTGTTAACCTCTTCTCCAGCCACCTGTGATCAACCTGTACAAGCTTATGGTGCGGGATGTGGCCATTGACAAGTGCAGCATGTACCTGATCAGTCCCAACAAGATTGCACCTGAGATGTATGAGGTCAACTGTGACACTCCAGAAAAAAGAAAACGTTGGAAGGAAATCCTGGAACAGGCCATCCATGACTGTCCTGATGAAGGTGAGTCATTTGGGAGGGAGAGTGATGAGGTTTCAATACAAATGAATTGGAAGTACTCCTAGATATTTTATCACTGTCACTGAAATCAGTCTTGACATTATCATTGAACTCAAGATGCCAAGTTACTAATAACTTTTGCTAGTTAGGCACGTAAAGCATTTCAAAATCATCTCAGCTCCCTAGAGTTTATACTGCTCAGTTCATTTGGTGAAAACCGCTAACTAGAACACAACCAATTTGCTCAGAATGTGACTATCTATTCCTGGCTGGAAAGATTTTGGCCCTGTTGGGTGGCTGTGCTTACTGTGAGAATCTTTAAGAAAGCAGAAAACTCTTTGGTAACAAGTTTCATGTTTAACAAGTCAATAGGAAATTTGTGCATGCATACATCCTCTAGTTAAGGGGTCTAAGCTGTCACAGTAACCATGGCATATCTGTGTTACTGCTTTAAACACACAGTGATGATCTTTAGTGTTGAATGTTGCAAACAGCAGAGCTAGAAATTGATCCCTCGTGGAGAAAAAGCAGTCCACATTCATACCACAGCTCAAACAGGCTGGACTTGGACGATCTGTGCAGAATTACCCAGGATAAATGATTTGGTTTCAATCTTCTTGTGATTTCAGATGAAGGTGTAGGAGAAGATGCAGAGACAGATGAAGAGAAGCGTGCTGCAGAGGCAAGAGCCGCTAAGATCAAGAAACTGCTTGGTAGGAGCAACATTGCAGTAGTTATTACAGGCAGTGGTCTTGGCCTTCCAGAAGAGACTGTGGCTTAGGCCAACTAGGCCAGCCAAGCCACTTTGCCTCTTGGGTTGTTCTTGGATTAGGGCCTGGCAGTGATGATGAACAGTAACTTACCATGTTATAGGCCACTTTCTGGTACAGTGCATCGATGAGAATAGGTTCTTAAAATGGCGTATTTGTTCGTGTTCTCTCTCAAAATAACCATTGGCTTCGTTAGTTCTCAAACTGAACCTAAGGTGTTGAGTGTCGTGAAGGAATAAGACAAACAGAAATGGTTGATTTTGTTTGTTGACTTTGTTTTCAGAACAAATGCAAGAGAAGGACAACCAGTTGAATGAGATCATGGAGGAGAAAGCTAAGCTAGTAGAGGAATTGAAGGACACACTCAGCAAAGATGATGCCTTGGGAACCGTATGTACATATTCTGAAAACCTTGGACAAAAAGACCATTGAAATTCCAGTTTGCAAAACAAAACCAGTGTACAAACCTATAGTCACAACTTTTACAAGCTGTAAAGAAAGCAGGATGCAAACACAATAATCCTTTGGTGCCTGGCCTAGGTCGGCCCAAACTGAGGTTGCTGAACATTCAAGTTTGTTTGCCAAAGTTGGTCTAGAAAAATGGGGGGGGGGAAGAAATGGAATGACATACAATGTAGTATGTCAAATCAAAGGTCACTGTGTAAAGAATGTCCAGTGATCCAATATTAACACAAATATTGTAGGAATAAAGTGTAAAGTAAAGTAAAACCAATAATACCTGATTTTGTTGTGATTTAGTTGAAATCATCTGTGATAGTTGATAGCGACGCTCAGATGCAGGAAGCTAAACAGATTCTGCTGGCTGCCATAGCTGAAGGTTAGTCTTTGCTCATCTGTTTGTCTGTGTGTGGTACGATAATGCACTATACATTGTATTGGGAGTCAGTCCCCTTAGTAACGGGGCTAATTCAAAATGTATTCATTATTCTTGAAACAAATGAAATTATTGTGGCAAATTATCTTTTAGGAAAGATTCAGTGCATTTGGGAGACAACATTAAAAAAAATAAACATTTTGGAATTGAGAATTTCAAAGTGCCTTTAATGATAGCTTTATTTTGATTTATGACTTAAAAGGTTTCAGGGCAGCCGAGAATTTTACTTGCTGATTAAATTTATCTACTTCTAAGCTTTTGGATGTGGAATAGTTGTTTTATTGTGGCAGAATAACCTATGAGCTCTGAGCGGGACCAAGAGAGGCCACAGTTTTCTTGTTGTTTTCCTTGCAACAGCGGGAACAACTCTTCACTGGTTCACAAATAACCATGAAATGTATAGTTACCATTGAGTCGCTACCAACAAAATGAACACTCCCTACCAACATGGCTCTTTTCGACTGATAGGGGGAGGTGCTTCTGCTCAAGGCAGATAGCATATATGTACATTCACTGAGGACTGACAACCTAGTGCCTGTCACTTCTTAATCTATCCTGCAGCACATCGCCTTACCACAGCAGTCTACAGTGCTGGGGTGGGGTTGACTCGTAGTGCTAGCAGCGCTGGTGAACGAGAAAGCGGCTTATTCCAAGCCCCTGCCCTACCAAAACGTGCTGAAACCTTTGGTGGCTTTGACAAACAGCAAGGTTGGTTGCTTGTCAACTCTGTCATATTTGACGTCATTTCAAGTTCAGTCTGTACTGTTACTAGGAGGGTAGAGTAATATATGAGGTAAAAAAAATCCAACTCAAGATCAATTTGTAGCAGTAAAGTTTTTCAAAATGAAAGCCCAGTGTACACATTTTTTGTAGTTGAAACATTGTCATTACATGTTCAACAAGACAGTCCTTTGTAACACCTTAACACCAAGTTACTCTGGGGGCAGAATCACAAGGTCTGGCCCATGTTTTAAAAAATATCTTTCCTTGCTTGATGTTGAAGTCTACTCAGGCTGACAATTTTTGCTTAGACTAGCTGATTTTCTTGTGTTGTACTTCTTGTGTAAGGTATTTTAAATGGAAAGACACCAAATTATACTCCTGGGCATTTTAGGGGAATTTCCTGACGTTGCCATGCTGCCTGATGAATACAGCAGGCTGCACTTGTTTTGCTGTTATTGGATTCCTCTAACACTCCTAGAGATAACCTCCAGGATTCAGGACGAAAGAACTGAAGGAGACTATAACTTCTACTGAATCCTCTGCAGGTGCTGTGGCCAAGAAGCGTTTTGTTGCCAGCACCAGGGAGACAGACAACCGCAGTTACAGCTTCCCTGACTTGGCCAAGGCTGAGGGGAAGCTTACGGATGAGTCGGACAGTCACCACCCTGCTCAGCAAGGCTCTGACCCTAACCTGTTGTCTGATAGCTATCAGGACAGGCTACACATGCATGGGAAGGTAAAGTAGAGATCCAGGCTTAACCACTTGCTGCTGGGGGCAGTTATCAATGTTGATGACACTGGTCCGGGATAATTATTGTTTTTTTGTGTTTTCAAAATTCCTTAAAAATTCCTATCTTTATTTACTGGACACTTACAAACACGTGAAGGACTGTCTGGTGTCCGCTCTTGCCTGACAGACAAAATCTATTGATGCCTGAGTATTTCAGCCAGGCCGGCAGCCTTGTAAAAAGAGCCCAGATTGTGCGGTGTTATGTAACTTTCTTTTGTTCACGAATCTGGCTCAGTGCACTGTTGACCTCTTTTCAATAGTGGCCAGATTAGCATGCAGCGGTGCTGTGTGGCTCATCGCTGCGGTGGTGGAGCGTTTTTTTCCCCAGTGGAAATCCACTCACTCTTTTGTTCACAACAAGGCTGGATTATCTCCATTTTTGAGAGTGAAAAAATGTCAGTTATGCCCAATAGTCTGGTCTTTTGTTCAGAGTACGGTCTTTTGTTACAAGGCCCTGTTCCCTTTGTCCGAGTTAGGAGACCCCAGCCACGCATATAAACCGTACGTCGCCGATTTCGGAGTCCCCGGCTGGTAGTGAATATGCAAACAGTTTAGATCCCAAAACAGAGACAGTGATAAGACTGAAGTAATTAAGTGGCCCTGTACAGTAGTCAGCAACCTTCTATCACATCTTTCCTTCTTTACTTCATGGACACAGAGCTGAATAGTCTTCAGTTTTATTGTAAAAAAGTTTGTTCAATCTGTGATATCAAAGCAAAAACTCACACCACAAATTCACATAGTTGGACAGATTATAATTGTGTTTAATTTCACCTCAGTTGCTTCCTGGTGTCACACCACAAATGCATATGTGCTGAGTGTAGAGTGGCATTTAGCCTGGTGATATTTATAAAAGTGTATCATGAGAGAGGTCTGTTATGTATTTTTTTTACAGGAGCCAGGGAGTCAGGACAGGTTCTCAGACAACTCCAGCCGACTGACTGTGGACAGCTTCAGCTCCACGAGTGAGGACATACCAGAGGGCATGTTGAAAGACGATAAAACTGCTGTCACACCGGACCATGTAGTTAGCGTCAACCACCTCCTGAAACATCTCAACTCCCTCTTGGTGAGTGACAACACTCATCAGTCATGACACAAACTGTGTGTCATTATTCAAGCATATGTGGTAGCTGGTATAAATGTTGATCTTGCCGATACTAAGTCAGTTTCCTTTATTTCCTGCCACAGTCGATTACATCCAAGAAAGAAACGGCTTATGAAAGGTACGGATGACAGTTCAGAAATTTTTTTGTAAAGAAATATTAAAAAGTAGTATTCTTGGTGTTTGTTTGACCGAGGGCGCTGGCAAGGTTTTGCTTTTTTTACTGGTGTAACAAAGTAGTGAAGCCTTTGAATGGCTCTCCTCAACTTTTTTCCTACTTTGCTCAAGAAGTGTCACCACAAGGCTTTGGGATTCTTACTGTTGTCATGTTAATCATGTGAATTGTTATTTATCTTTAATTCAAAAAGCGGTGTCTGAAGATTGCGCACAAAGTTGGGCCGAGGGTCCCCTAACATGCTTCTTTTGAAGTGTCTCTGGGAATGCTTTCAAGCTTATCTCAACAAATCAGAGAATCGTGTGGGGAAAATGTCATTTTTTAACAGGCCTGTTAAACTCAAGCATTTGCAAATAAGGAGTTTGAAATCAATAGAGTCATACTTTCTGTGCATTTTCGAATTCAAAAATTACACCATTTAAATCATAAAGGGAAGAAAAAATAAAGTGTGGCATGTTGGATGCAATTATCAATATACTCAGTGCTTTTAAAGGGCGTTCATCCATTAACAGGCCACCCACTCCCACATCGGGTGCAGTCTGTTTGCATGGTAACACCCTCATAAGCTGTTTATCTAGTCTTTGTAGGGAGTTTCAGAAAGGTCTTAGAAACCTTTCATTTGACAATGTCTTGATTCTGTTCTCCCCCTGGCAGCATGAGATCACAGTTGCTGGAAGCGAACAAGAGGATTGAATCACTGGGTGGAGTTGTTCCCAAGCCCCGCGCTAAAGCTTACTCCATGGGTACACAAGGGTTGGCCTCACTACCAAAACGAGGGGTAAGAAATGAACTTTTATGCCTAGGATGTCTTTTAAACATGTTGTTCCTCAGCCCGTGTGGCTCTTCATACAGCTGTGTTCCAGCTTTATTTTTAGCGTGTTTCTCTCTCCTGTGAGATTTCTTCGATAAAGGCCCACACAGGATAAATGTCTTAATGGAGAGAGGCAAGTGTGGGTAAATAAGGTTGCCTAAGGACATGACTGTTGCTGGATTGAGACCCCAGATCAAGAATTGAAAACCCCAGTCACTGGTCTGTGATATCCATGGTTGGACCGATTGTTTCGTTCACCATTTATACTTCATCGCTGTGTTTCCATGGAACTCTTAAGCTGTGGCCGCTTTACTTCATCTCAGGGTTTTGTAGAGTGACACAAAACTTTGCTGAGTGAAATTATTGGTAGTGTTATTTCTTTTTTGTATGCTACCCTTCTGCTATCACAGTCTTCAGCATGTTATCAATAGCCAGCATGTTGTCAGTAGCCAACATGTTATCAATAGCCAACATGTTATCAATAGCCAGCACGTTATCAATAGCCAGCATAGGCATAAGAGCAAAGTATTATGCATGAAACAAACTCCACCTTGATACACACTGGGTTTCACTACTGCATCAGAATTTTTGAGATACTATAGATAGCATCACTGATGTGTGTACTCCAAATCAGGATTTGCTTACCGCTCTTACATGTATATAGTTAACCTGTAAAATACGTATTGAGTGTTATGCACTGTAAACAATAACCCCCAGCATTGGGTGAGCAAGCAATTACGTTTCTTGATTAATTGTGAAAGATTTTTGATTACATTTGTCTAGGACAAGGGACGGAGCAGCAGTACAACTTCAGATAAAAATCTGGACTCTAAGGATGGTAAAGGGAGGACGCCTGACACCAAAGATAGGAGTAAACGAGAGTCAGTTGGGGAAGGGAAGCCCTATGAGCCTCCTTTTAGTGGTGTGAAGGCCTCAGACCAAAGCCTTAGGAGAATAGCCTTTGGAGACATATCCTATAATGAGAACAGCACCCATGCTGGTCATGGGGCACAGGCTGAGAGCCCCAAGTCCATCATGAAGCACCGAGGGATGAGCGACAGCAGAGCGCCCAGTGAACCACCATCATCATTCTTGTCATCCTCCTCCTCATTGTCCCCAGAGAAGACTGTCGGCGGCAGGAGGCGGGATGCAGTGCCGGAGCACCTGCTGAGTGCCACCAACGAGCTGCAGGGATCCAGCGGGCTGGTCCAGCAGCAGCTCCCCTTGAAGCTCTCTTCGTTGGCTTCCATCCAGCCCTCCTCTTCCTCCTCTAACAAACCTCAGCAGATGATCCCCACAAAACTCTCATCTCTTGCCTCGTCAGCGAAGAGCTCATCCCCTGCAATGACACGCAATGGGAACCGGATGTCCACGGGGTCCTCCAAATCCAACCAGGGATCCAGCAAAATGAACAATAAGCAGGGCAAGGAGCAGAACATCATATTTTTCTGAGGAGGTGAGACAGCAGTCTGTGTCCAGATGTTTTCAAGCACAGTCTTGATCGTATTTTCTAACAAGTTAGGGTTGTAATTACCACACACTCAGGAAATCTGTTTTAACAGTGTTAGCATTCAGAGCCACTACTGAGTCAAGGAAATGGCTCTTAGCAGTTTTGCTGAATAAAAGCTGGCCGAGTGATTCCATCAGTACTGGAAGTTTCCCCCCAGTATGAAGTGATCATGTATCCATTGGGAGGCACCAATACATTGTCACATTCCACACTCGGTTAAAAATGGAACACAGTTATTGATAAATGCCAACAGCAAACACCGGCATTGGTGATGTTATAGCAGACCTTCACATTTCTGGAACAAATGCTGGAAAACTGAACTGATGAAATTCCTACAGCTTTTTGCCCACGACAGAAGTTGGAGTTGAGATTTCTTACGGCTATTTCCTGCATTTGACACACTCTGCTAATGCTGTGGTGTAAAGTTGCTATTAATTTAACACCTGTGGAGTTAATATTAGCCAGCACTGGATCCAGATTTGAAGGGTGTAAAATTAACACCACAGTGTTTGCAGTGTAATAGATCTGGAATGATTATATAAATGAATAATTCCCATTCAAGTTGAATAAACAAAAAAAAGATGACAACTGGCAACCTGTATACTGATACCAAGTAGTTGTAAAGTCTTGGTTTTCATTTGTCCAAATGGAAAGGATAACTAAATGTTGATGTTTGTAGTGGAGTGATTCATACTGGGGTGCACCACCGAGAGGTGACCATGGATAGGCCATTTGGCAAAACATATGCATAAGGCCAAATACAGTAAAAGCTGTGCTCCCTATTACATTGGGGAAAAACTAGGTTTGGTAGGTGGGAATATCTTTTTTTTTTCTTTTTACATTTTTGGGTCCAAAATTTTAGGGTGGGAATTTTTCAATTTTTTTTTAATAAAAGTGATTTTGATCATCTACAGTGTATTCCATCCACTTTTTTTTCTGCGGATTCATAACTTGAGGATCGATCTTGTCAAAGGTTGCATCCAAGTCAGAGCCTCTTCAAACAGTTATACATTTGTGTTGCACTGACATTTTGCTAAATTAATGTCCAAAATTGTTTAAAAGCTCATACAAACTGATGCCCTTAACCACTACCAGCCAGGGACTCCAAAATCGGAGACGTATGGTT